ACATGGTCAACTACATGTGTTGGTGAAAATATGGAAATTCTGAGGAAATTTGGGAAAAATTCGTGTTAGTTTCTGTACATTTATCGTATATATTCTCCCAGTTCGTACGAAAAGTCCTATGATCACCGAGGAAACTTCTGAGCTCAGTTGAGGAAAGCAAACATGTATTCATCCAACACCACTGGTAGGTACGAAACTCTCTGATGTTGTTCGTACGGCCTCCGATGAGCCTCCTGAGTACGCGATAGAGCCTCACTCGGAGTACCACACTGCTGGGTAGGAGAGATCGCTGTTGTAGTTGATGATGATTGGTGGGGCTTAGACTGCCGCATAAGATCGCTCTCTTCGCTCACGGCGAAGTCCCCGAGTACGGTGGGGAGTGGATGGTCGCTGATACTAGAAGGATTATGGAAGAACTTGATAAGGAGGTCGTTAGGAAATTTGATGAGCTTGGTAATATTCTCATACCGTAAATCGAGCACATTACGGTTCTTTGGTAGGGGCGTGCTATAGGGTGTTTTACGAATCTAGGGATAACAGTGTGATTGGGTAGTGCATGGGGGGGGGGGTGTAGTGTCTACGATATGGGATTGTTGTGGTATAGATACAATAATTGGCAAACGAATATTAATTGTGATAAGGAGAAAGTTGAGGAGTACTTGAGAATTCGTGGATACGACTGGAAATGGAGTATGTATGAAAATGTGGTGATTGTGGTTAAGTTTATCATTTACTAGATGATGATGCCTCGTTGGAATATTGGAAAGTGTACCCAGCAGTGGTGCCTCATCCGGTGACTGGCGAGAAGTGTTGGTTTAATCAAGTCCATGCTCAACATAAAAGCTTTTATTATTCCCATCCGAAGTAGTCCATGAGGGGGGGGGGGGGGTATTGTGGTCAACTACATGTGTTGGTGAAATATTGTTGGTTTCTGTACTAGTTTTGGAGATCTTCTTCCAACTCGTATGTAAACTGCTATGAATGTTGAGGAAGCTTTTGAGCTCAGCTGAGGAAAGCGAAGATATTTTTGCCGCGTTAGGAGTGCTGGTGTTAGGTATAGGGACCTGCCTAGGGACAGTAACAGATTCCCGGTGAACACTACTTATGGGGATGGTACTGAGATAGAGCCTGAGGTGAGTACAACGTCATCGACATAATCGTTCGCTCGAAAAAGTGCGTTAAAACGTTCCAGTGGCATGTTTACCCTCGTTTTTGAGGTGAAGTAGCATCGACTAGAAATTTTACATTTGTGAGAATATTCAATATGGAATTTGATCTTGGTATGTTGTTAGTAGTGGTGGAGTAGGTACTGGCTCATATAAGGTCTATAATATGGAGGAATTGTCACGCAGCGCCCCTACGTACTGGTGCACTACTGGTACAGGATAACTATCTTACTTTACATGGACGGTAATAGTAGTAGTGGTAGTAGTAATAGTAGTAGTATTAGTATTAGTATTAGTATTAGTAGTATTAGTAGTAGTAGTAGTAGTAGTAGTAGTAGTAGTAGTAGTAGTAGTAGTAGTAGTATTAGTAGTAGTAGTAGTAGTAGTAGTATTAGTATTAGTAGTAGTAGTAGTAGTAGTAGTAGTAGTAGTAGTAGTAGTAGTAGTAGTAGTAGTAGTATTAGTAGTAGTAGTAGTAGTAGTAGTAGTAGTAGTAGTATTAGTAGTAGTAGTAGTAGTAGTAGTAGTAGTAGTAGTAGTAGTAGTAGTAGTAGTAGTATTAGTAGTAGTAGTAGTAGTAGTAGTAGTAGTAGTAGTAGTAGTAGTAGTAGTAGTAGTAGTAGTAGTATTAGTAGTAGTAGTAGTAGTAGTAGTAGTAGTAGTAGTAGT